GGAGGAGGCTGTGGCTGGCGAGTTGCACTTGGCGCGGCCGACGGGGAGCGGCCAGGCCAAGGATTAGGACGCGCATCGCTGACGCGCACCCTTAGTAACCGGGGCAGCCTCGGGAGTGCCGCTGCGCCAGCGTGCCAATAGGGTGCGCTCCGGGGGGGCGGGGCGGGGGGGCGGGGCGGAGGGGCGGGGACGCGGGGCGCGCTCAGTCCTGTTGAGCTTGATGTTTGCGGCCCACGGGGAGTCGCCCAAGTGAAGTGGACATCATCGCGAGGGGGCGGGGAGTGCGCGCGGGGCGGGGAGTGCGTGGTCGGCGGAGAGTGCGTCTCGGGCGGCGCACCGGAGCGGAGCCTGGCTGCCCTTGAGCACGGCCTGCAGCGAGTCCTCGCGCGGGAAGTGCGCGCGTCCCTCGCCGTGGGCGACCCACACGCCCAGGCTCGAGCCCTCCATGCCCTGGAGGAGGACGGCGGGCGAAGGAGCGACCTTGACGGCGCTCCAGCGCGACTCGAACCGGCCAGACGAGTTGTGCACGAAGCGCGGCTGCTCCGCCTCCGGGATGGGCTCGCCGCCGGGCACCCAGCCGAGCAGCGCCATCAGCTGGCAGCCGTTGCAGACGCCGAGCGAGAAGGCGTCGGGCCGGTTGCGGAAGGCCTCGAACTGCGCAGAGAGCCGCTCGTCGAACTTGATCGTCGCGGCCCAGCCCTTGGCCGAGTCGAGCACGTCCGCGTAAGAGAAGCCGCCGCAAAAGATGACGCCGCGGAAGGCGTCGAGCGCCACGGCGCCGCCGGCGAGGTCGGACATCGAGACGTCCCACGGCGCGCATCCCGCCGCGTGCAGCGCCGCCGCCATCTCGCGGTCGCCGTTCGTGCCCTCCTGCCGGAGGACCGCCACGCGCGGCCGCTTGTCGTTCGCGGGCAGCGCCGTGGGCGCCGGAGTGAAGGAGAGGCTCCACTGCGGCGCGTGCCGCTTGGCGAGGCCGGCCTGCTCCTGGGCGACGCAGGCGGGCGCGCACTGCAGCTTCTCGAGCTCGAAGGACCCCGACTCCCACGCGTCGCGCAGCTCGCTCACGCCCGCGCGGAGCAGCTCGGCGCCGCCGACGGAAACCTCCACGGGCGTGCCGCGCGGCTTTGTGGAGCCGACCCGAGCGCAAGGCACGCCCGCCGCAGCGTAGGCTGCGAGGACGGCCGCCTCGTCCGCCGGCGCGACCTCGAGGAGGAGACCAACCTCCTCGGCGAAGAGGGGGGCGAGGGGCGACGCGCCGGCCGCCGGCACGTCGAGGGAGAGGGAGCGGTCTCCCGAGAATGCCATCTCGAGGGCGGCGGTGAGGAGACCGCCGTCGGAGACGTCGTGGCCAGCGCGGAGCGTGCCGGCCTTGAGGAGGGCCTGCGTGGCAGCGAAGGCGGCGGCGAGCAGCTCCGGCCGCTCGACGTCAGGAGGCGTCTCGCCAATCTGCTTGTACACCTGCGGGGATAGAAGGGGGGGGGGAGGGAGGATCCCCCCCAGCGCTGAAATTAATTGACTTGGTGTGCTTGCCACAAGGGACGCGGAACCTCTAAAATGCACCTGG